GCCAGTTTGGCTCAGTGGATATAGCATCAGCCTATGGACTGAAGGGTCCCGGATTTGATTCCGGTCAAGGGCACATACCTAGGTTGCAGGCTCAATCCTTGGCCCTGGACAGGACATATGTGGGAGGCAATCAATCAATGTGTCTCTCTCACATCATTGTTCCTCTCTGCTTCTCCCCCTCCCTTCCACTATCTCTAAAAATCAATGGAAAAATATCCTCGAATGAGAACTAACATAATAAAGAAGAAATAAATGGCATTTAAATTGGAAAGAGGTAAAGCTGTCTTTATTTGCTTTATAAAATGATGCTGTATACAGAGGACCCTAAAGATTCCACCAAAAAACTACTATAACTAATAAATGAACTCAGTAAAGTAGTGGGATACAAAATAAATATTCATAAATCAGTTGCATTTTTATATGCCAATAATGAACTATCAGAAAGGGAAACTAAAAAAACAATCCCACTTATAATTGCTTTAAAAAAATACCTAGAAATAAAGTTAACCAAGGATGTAAAAGACTTGTACTCAGAAAATTATAAGACCTTGAAGAAAGAAATTGAAGAAGATACAAAAAATTGAAGCTTATACCATTTTCATTGATAGGAAGAAATGGCATCATTCAAATGTCCATAACACCCAAAGCAATCTGTATATTCAATGCAATTCCTATCAAGGTACCAATGGCATATTTCACAGAACTAGAACAAATATTACAAAAATTTTTATGGAACCACAAAATAATAAATTCACCATAGGAAAACACGGTTATCACATGGAAGGTGTACTACAGGGATAATAATTATGCAGATTAAAAGGTTATTTTTGCTTATTAGGTTAGAAAATCTCTTAGATTTTTGTAATCCTATATAATAAAAGAGAAACATGCAAATTAACTATCCCTCTGCTATGCCCAAGCCATGCCCACAAGCCAATCAGGAGCAAATATGCCAATTAACCCTACTAAGATGGCGTCGGCCACGGAGCTGGAGCGAGCAGGAGGCTTGGTTGCCCCCAGCGATGGAGGAAGCCAAGCTTCCCACCTGCCTTGGCTGGCCCTCAGCTCTGCTCAAAGCTACAAAGTTTCAATTATAGAAGATAAATAAATCCCAGGAAAAAAAAAAGAAAAAAAGGAGAGGCTGGGAGCTTGGGTCACTGGGGGGTGTGGCCAGCCTAAAAACAGCCATCAGCCCCTCACCCAGGCTGGCCAGGCACCCCAGCAGGACTCCCCCACCCTGAAGGGGCTGTGGGCAGTCTAAAAACAGCCCTCAACTCCTCACCCAGGCTGGCCACACCCCCATGGGGTGAGGGTCCCCCCTTGGGGGCTTGACCAGCCTGAAAACAGCCATCAGCCCCTCACCCAGGCTGGCCAGGCACCCCAGTGGGGACCACCACCCTGAAGGAGGTGTGGCCAGCCTGAAAACAGACATCAGCCCCTCACCTAGGCTGGCCAGGCACCCCAGTAGGGACCCCCACCCTGAAGGGGGTGTGGCCAGCCTGAAAACGGCCCTCAGCCCCTCACCCAGGCTGGCCAGGCATCCCAGCGGGACCCTCACCCTGATTTGGGACACCCTTTAGGACAAACCAGCAGGCCCCCACCCATGCACCAGGCCTCTATCCTCCTATATAAAAAAAGGTAATATGCAAATTGACCCTAACAGCAGAACGACTGGGAATGACTGGTCACTATGACACACACTGACCTCCAGGGGGCAGATGCTCAATGCAGGAGCTGCCCCCTGGTAGTCAGTGCATTCCCGCAGGGGGGGCTCTGCTCAGCCACAAGCCAGGCTGATGGCTGCTAGCACAGCAGTGGTGGCGGGAGCCTCTCCTGCCTCCTCAGCAGCACTAAGGATGTCCGACTGCAGCTTAGGCCTGCTCCCCCCTGGCAAGTGGACATCCCCCAAGGGTTCCCGGGCTGCCAGAGGGATGTCTGACTGCCAGCTTTTAGGCCCGATCCCCAGGGGAGTGGGCCTAAGCCAGCAGGTGGAGATTTCCCGAGGTGTCCCAGACTGTGAGAGGGCACAGGCCAGGCTGAGGGACCCCTCCCCTGAGTGCACAAATTTTTGTACACCAGGGCTCTAGTATTGCATGGTTGTGAAGACAGGAGATAGGCACCTTCATATACTGTTGATGGAGTTATATTTGGATACAATTTTCTCTGTGAAGGAATTTGACTATTTTCTATCTATCTATCTATCTATCTATCTATCATCAAAGAATTTTGAAAATGTCTTTCTTTTTGACTTAGTAAAGCCCTCCTAGTACTAATCAAAATTAGCAAGAGATCTTAGAAATATTTATCTTAGTAGTGATAATAAGAATAAAATTTAAAATATCTAAATGTCCTGCAATAGGGAAGTAGTTGGAAATATTATGACACTCCAAAAGTGAACCAATCACCATTTTAAAAAATGGGTTTTATTACTTTTACCATGAACCAGACACAGAACTAAAAAATATATGTGCATGATTACACTGTGAGACAAGTACTATTATTATCTTCATCCAATTCAGATGAGGAAGTGATAGCAATTAACTTACGCAAAAACATACAACTACTGAATGAGAACCAAAAATCAGATATGTTTTTTGACACCCTTAAAAAATCTTTAAAAAATACTGAGGAAAATGTTTATAATCTAATAAGAAAAAACAGTGAAGATATAAAATTATATATTCAGTTTGATCTCAACTATGTAAAAATTTGCTTTTTAAAAAAATTAAAAGGAGCCCTAGCCAGTTTGGTTCAGTGGACACAGAGTGTCAGCTGGGAGCCTGAAGGGTTCCAGGTTCGATTCTGGTCAAGGTCACATGGCCAGGTTGTGAACTCCATCCCCAGTAGGGGGCCAGTAGAAGGCATGCAGGAGGCAGCCAATCAATGATTCTTTCTCATATTGATGTTTCTATCTCCCTCTCCCTCTCCTTTCCTCACTGAAATAAATAAAAATATGTTTAAAAAAATTAAAAGGAAATAAAAGAAACTAATGCTTTGTATGATAGGCTTATGAATGTTTTGTTCTTTATCATTTTATATTTTCTAAATTGTCAACAATTAACCAATATTTTTGTAATCAGTATAAGGCAAAAGATAAAATGGAGTTTTAGGAAGAATTGTCTCTATGATAGAAATAGCACCATTTTTGCTCACTAATGAAACTTTCAAATTATAATCCACAATTTTAATACAACTAATACTAGGCTATAATATACTATTTAAAACTGAAAATATTTATATTGTTAGAATATGCAATTTCTAAATTGCCGAAAGTGATAGAGAAAATTTTACTTTAGGTTCTATAAACATAAGAAGAAATTTCAAGAATAAAAATATAAATTAGGCATGTTTAGCAGTTCTATTAGACACTGAGGCACATTTACCATCAGTAGTGCAAAGCTTGTCCTTCATCATCTGCTGCTCAAGCTATTGATTCAGTCACTTGCTTATGAAGGGCACTAAAGTATGACCAAAAAAATCATCTTTAACGGCTCTTTACTAGTAATGTCTAAGAAAAATAATACTGAATACTTTTTATGTAGTCCACACCTACACCACATAAAAATGTGGTTTCTCAAACATTATTGCAAAATAAAAACTATATTTTGAAATGCTCTTTTTCAAAAACAATATTTTCTTTTGTTCATTCAAATGAATTAAAAATATTATTTGATTTGCTATTTCTTAATGCTATCTCTATTTTTATTCTTATATTTTCCATGGGAAACCTATACCCAAATACATGAATGATAGATATTTTCTAATTATCATAAATTCATGATCACTCTAGTAAGTAGAACAATGTCTAATGAAATAAAGAATAAATGTCAACAAAAAGCACTTTCAAATCATTTAGCACATACTCCTGTGTGTCAGACACTGTTGTGAGAACCAGACATGCACAGTCCTCCTGATTAAAGGTGTAAAAATACCCAGGTAACAGACATACCCAGGTAAAGCCTCACTTGAACATTAGAATAGATCAAAAGGGAAACACAATGTTTTAACATATTTTTCTAAAAGCAAGCTTATGTTATTTTAAAATAATCATTTGTAAATGCATTGTCAATTATCTAAAATAATCATTCACACAGATAGGCATTTGTTCTTTTTACAAAAAGTAACTAAACACCAGGTTAGAGAAAAGTATGTCTCAAAATACAAAAAAAAAAAAATCAATTATTTTATATTCCCTAATTATGGTTAGGGGATATTTGTTTTTACAAAAAAAAATGTACTCAAATTTTAAGGTTAACCTAATAGTCAAATGTATTTGTGTCTCTGGCAGGGTCTTCTGAAATTTATCACCCCCTTCATAGTTGATATGTTTGAGGATGTGTGCTCTCTTTTCCATTTTCCCTGATTAATCAATTCTCATAGCTCCAAATAAAAATCGTTAGCCTGAATTCTCTTCCCATAGTTTCAGCTGCCCCAAGGGTTTTCTTTTGCCTAGATATACCACAAGAATAAAAAATATCACATATCCAAAATTAAACTCATACTAGTATTTTCTTCCATGACCAAGAGCATGAAGCTCTTAGTCTAGTGAGAAAAGGGCAAAAATATAAAAAAAAAAAAATACATTAAAAAGGTATTCAAGGAACAATATGGACTAGAAAGAAGGACAAGATCAGAAGTGAAGTTCTCCCACCAGGGTAGTTAGACCTTCTGAAGATGTATAACTGAGTTAATAATGTAAGAACAAGTCATACATTAAAAACATATGAAGAAAAGCACCAACCTAGAATATCAAAAACAAAAGAAAATCAATTGAAAAACTGTTAAAAATACTAAGAGTTCAGTGAGATGACACCAACCAAACAATAAATAATCCATAATGCTTTTTAAAAAATATATTTTTATTGATTTCAGAGAAGAAGGGAGAGGGAGAGGGAGATAGAAACATCAATGAAGACCCATAACCTGGTCATGTGCCATGATCCGGAATCCAACCATGACCTCCAGGTTCATTGGTCAACACTCAACCACTGAGCTATGCTGGCTGGGCAATAGTGCTTTTTTATATCAGCCAAAGTTGCCAAAAAAAGGGGGGGGGGGAACAATCTATTTACAAATGACAAGTCAAATGTATAAAATAAGTAGGCATAAAAAGTTTTAAATGCATAGACTCTGTATATAAATTCTAAAATTATATGAAGGGAGCATACAGATTCAAGTAAACTGAGACAAGTATCCTATATAATAATAGACAAACATGGTAATTAACCGTAGCTCTGACATGCTTCCCATTGGCTAATCAGGGCAATATACAAATTAACTGCCAACCAAGATGGCGACCGGCAGCCAGGCAGCTGAAGTGAACAGGAGGCTTGCTTGCTCCAGTGATGGAGGAAGCCAAGGTTCCCCGCCTGCTGCTGCCGGCCTCTGAGCTTGCAGTCTAAGAAACAATGTTGCAATTATAGAGGCTAAACCAGCCGTGGGCAAACTACGGCCCGCGGGCCAGATCCGGCCCGTTTGAAATGAATAAAACTAAAAAAAAAAAAAAAAAAGACCGTATCCTTTTATGTAATGATGTTTACTTTGAATTTATATTAGTTCACACAAACACTCCATCCATGCTTTTATTCTGGCCCTCCAGTCCAGTTTAAGAACCCATTGTGGCCCTCGAGTCAAAAAGTTTGCCCACCCTTGGGCTAAACAAACTCCAGGAACCTGCTTTCCACCAGCCGGGCTTCAGCCAGCATGATCGCAACATTGTTTCAATTATAGAATCCAAACAAACCCAGATCCCTGCTTTCAGCAGCCAAGGTCTCAGAGCTGCAGCCAGGCCTCAGAGCTAAAGCCGGCTCTCAGCTCCAGTGACAGCCATAGAAGGTAAACAAATCCCAGAATAAAAAAAAAAAAGAAAAAAAGGAGAAGTTGGGAGCTTCAGTCACCCGCCAGCCTGAAAACAGCCCTCAGCCCCTCACCCAGACTGGCCAGGCACCCCAGTGGGGACCCCCACCCTGAAGCAACAAGATGGCTGCTAATTTGCATACTGAAGGCGGGCGGCAGCGGGCAAGGCTGTCTGCGGTCCGGGACCTGGATCCGTGACCTGGCGGGCAGGGGGCAGCGCTTGAGGCTGTCCACGGGACTAAGACACAGATCTGTGACCCTGGCGGGTGGGGGGCAGTGCTTGAGGCTGTCCGCTGTCCCAGGACCCGGATCTGTGACCCTTCCCGGCAGCTCGCACAGGGGCGGATCGGCCGGGGTTGGGCAGGGCAGGACGCCTGGCTTCCACCCAGCCCCCGTCACTCTGGGCAGGTGAGCAGCGCAGAGAGCCTCTGGACAGGGGAAGCAGGCCGGCAGAGGGCGGCCTGTACTCCCCACATGGTGGTGGTGACAGCTGTGAGTGCACCAAGCGGAGCCTGCGGGCTGAGCTGAAGTAGCGCCTGCAGGCCATCAGCACCCAGGAGTGGCTGCGCAAGATCCGCCTCCTGGCCCAGAAGGTGCAGGATCACAGGGACAGCCACTGTGGTGGGCCAGACTGACGTCCTCCTGGCCGCACCACGGGGGTTTGCGGATCTGCAAAGCCAGAGGCCTCGGTGTGCACATCCCCCCCTGGTGTGCAAACATCCCCCAGCACACTGTCACCCTCCTGCGCCTGCAACAGTTGCAAACCAAGGAGTGCACAAGCCCCCCCCCCCCCCCCCCCCCCCCGCCTCTCCAACACACTTCCATCAACCGGCATGCCTAACACCCCCACAGGATGTGCACACATCCCCTCTGATGTGCTCACATCCTTTGGAGAGTGTCAGGGTGTTCTGGGTGCTGAGGGTGGGCGCCTGTGAGATGACAGTGAGAGGGCGGAGTGGTGATGCCCTGTTCCCATGGAGGCCAGTGCAGCTACAAGATCACCTCTAGGGGGTTAATGCAGGTGCTGAGGCGGGAGCAGATGCAGACAGACACACCTGGTGGGCGCGGGTGGCCCTCGCTGAGGTGCCTTCGGTCAGCGTTCAAGATCAAGAACCCAGAGGTGGAGAGGAATTCCGTCCTCTCAGTGAAACAGTGGGATAGTCGGGGCAACTGTAGAGGAGGAATGTGCACTTTGGGTGCCAGCACCCATGAGAGAAGGCTGCCCTGACTGAGTCTCGCTTGCTTGGGGCCTAGTGCACTCCTGCCGGGCAGCGGGTGACAGGACGTGCTTTTCCAAATTAATGAGAGAAAACGTTGATTCTCCTGCTGCCCACGAAGGTGGAAAGTGAAGTGGGGAGACATGTGGGGAGTGAGCGAGGTTCCCTGTCTGGGGGTTCCAAATCTGCTGTTGGTTTCTTTCACTGCTGACTAGAGATATACAGGGTGTCCCCCCAAAATGTATACACACTTTGAATACCTACTAATTCCAATGGTTTTAAGCATAAGAAAGAAACAACAATGGAGCTGTTATCTGTTAAAAGTGTGGGCACAAACAGGTAGTTGGACATTCCCTGAGGGGTCTCAGATTGGAGAGGGTGAAGGCCAGACTGAAGGGCCCTTCCTCCCCACCCCCACCCCAGTGCACGAATTTCATGCACCGAGCTACTAGTATTTTATAAAATAGGTACACAATATTATGCAAATGACTTTTTCACTAAATCTATAAATATCTCAGGGGAACACAAATTCATGTGGGATAAGATTCAACGGACCCATTTTATGGCTCATCTGGAAAAATAAATTAATGTTTGGGAACAGCCAGCCAATTTTAGGGGAGGAGAAATAAAACAACTTCATCAATGACATAAAAATGTACCATAAAAACCTCAAAACACACACAAAAAACCAAAGTGAAAATGCAATGAGTCCAAATCATATAAAATTTAAAAATATATATATTTGTATTGATTTCAGAGAGAAAAGGAGAGGGGGAGAGAGAAACATAAATGATGAGAGAGAACCATTGATTGGCTGACTCCTGCATGCCCTCTACCAGGGATCGAGCATGTGCCCTGACTGGGAATTGAACCATGAACTCCTGGTTCATAGATTGATGCTCAACCACTGAGTCACACTGGCTGGGCCATATAAGAATTTATGCCACAATAGGAAAACATTTCAAATCAAATGGGAAGAAATCCAATTTTTCAATAAATGGAGTTAATACAACCAGCTTTCATATTTTTTAAAACCTTTATTGTTGAGAATATTACAGATGCCCCCCGTTTTATCCTTCATCGCCCCCCTCCACCGAGTTCTGCTCCACCATAGGTCTTCACCACCCTATTATCTGAGCCCATAGGCAATGTATAAATGCATATAAATTCTTTGGTTAATCTCTCCAGTACCCCTCCCCCCACACCTCTTTCCCTCTGAGATTGGTCAGTCTGTTCCATGTTTCCATGTCTCTGGTTCTTTTTGTTCATCAGTTTATTTTTTTCATTAGATTCCTTGTTAATTTATTTTGATTTTTAGATTCAATTATTGATAGATATGCATTTCTTGGCATTTTATTGTTCATATTTTTTATCTTTTATTTCTTCTTCTTCTTCTTAAAGAAGACCTTTAACATTTCATACAAGTCTGGTGGTGATTAACTCCCTTAGCCTTTCTTTGGCTGGGAAGCTCTTTATCTGGCCTTCAATTCTAAATGATAACTTTGCTGGGTAATCTTGGTTTTAGGTCCTTGCTTGTCCTCACTTTAAATATATGCTACTCCCTGCTGGCCTGCAAAGTTTCTGTTGAGAAATCAACTGACAGTCATATGGGTGCTCTTTTTTAGGTAACTAACTGCTTTTCTCTTGCTGTGTTTAACCTTTGTGCTTCCTGGACTTGTATATCTCTTTCTTTCACAAGGGAAGTTTTCTGTCATTATTTTTTAGATTTTGATTTCTTGCTCTCCCTCTTCTCCTTCTCTTACCCCCATTTTGTGAATGTTGGTTTGCTTGAAGTTGTCTCAGAGGCTCTTTATACTATCTTCATTTTTTTAAAATTCTTTTTTCTTTTTGCTGTTTTGATTGGGTGTTTTTGCTTCCTTATATTTTACATTATTGATTTGCTTCTTGGTGTTCTACTCTGCTGTTGATCTGCTGTAAATTATTCATTTCAGTTAGTGCATGCTTCATTTCTGACTGGTCTTTTTTTATGTTGTTGAAGTTCTCACTAAGTTCCTTGAAATTCTCACTATGTTCCTTGAGCATCCTTATAATCATTGTTTTAAACTCTGTATTTAGTAGTTTGCTTGCTTCCATTTCATTTAGTTCTTTTTCCGGAGATTTCTCCTGTTCTTTTATTTGCAACATGTTTCTTTGTCTCTGTATTTTGGCTGCTTCCCTGTGTTTGTTTCTGTATATAAGTAGAGCTGCTATGTCTCCTGGAGTTGGTAAAGTGGCTTTGTGTAGTAGGTGTTCTGTAGGGCCCGGTGGCTCAGCCTCCTTAGTCACCTGAGTTGGGCACTCTAGGCATGTCCCTGTTGGGCTGTGTTGTTATAGTTGAGCCTTGATTGATGTTGGCATCACTGGGTGGTATTAACCCCCAGGCCAATTGGCTGTGAGGACCAGCTGCAACTATAGGGGAAGATCTGCTGTGCAGGAGACACCCCTATGGAGCAGGACTTGCTTCAGTGGGGCTTTGGTGCTCACTGAATCCTCCCCTTGAGTGTGTCACTCATGGAGGTGATAGAGTGTAATCTGGTGTGGTCAAAGTTGACCATGGGTGTACTGGCTCTGGGGCTTCCCAGGAGGTGCGTAGTCAACCTCTGCCTGAGCCTTGCCCAGGGCCACCCAGCAGGAGCTACAAAGTGATCTGTAGGTGGCTGCTACCTGTGTTGAGCTTGGAGGTGCCAAGGAGAGGCCAAGCTGTGAACCAGGGTGAGCTGCCACTAGTGCTGGGCCTGGGGCCACTTATTGAGAAGTACGGGACACACTGATGCCAGCTGCTGCTTGTATGAGAGATTTTAGGAAAGTCCAAAGCATGAGGCAAGACAGGTTAGTTGTATGGAAAAGCCATTGGAAATGGATTGGATGAGCCTATAAGTAGGGAGGGGCGGAGTCTCAGGGAATCACCAGGACAGGCGAAAAGTGTGAGTTGGGTTGATGGAAATTCAGATATGGTGCCATGCCAGCTGGCTCTTGTGGCAGGGAGGGCTCAGCAATGGAACACTGGCCTCTGCCAGAACTTCTCTCTGGGAGAAAGCTGCCCTTCCAGCTCTTGGCCTGATTCCAGACAAGTTAGCTCCTCCCCATACGTCCCAGGTTCCTTTCAAGCTACTGCCCCAGTGCTGGAGCTCAGAGTGGAGTGTGTCCGTGCGTGGGCCCTTTAAGAGAAACTGCCTGGTGGGACATTTTCCAAGATAGACCACATATTAGGACACAGGCAAAGTCTCTTCAAATTTAAGAAGATTGAAATCATAGCAAGCATCTTCTCAGACCAATGGAACAGAGCTGAGAACCCAGAAGTCGACACCATAATGATCAATTAATATTTGCCAAAGGAGATAAGAGCATACAATGGAGTCAAGACAGTCTCTTCAATAAGTGGTGTTGGGAAAACTGGACAGATACATGCAAAAGAATGAAACTAGACCACCAATTTACACCATACACAAAAATAAACTCAAAATGGTTAAAGGATTTAAATGTAAGATGGGAAACCATAAAAATCTTAGAAGAATCCATAGGCAACAACAAAGATATTGTCGTAGCAATATCTTTACTGATACAGCTCCTAGGACAATGGAAACCTAAGGAGAAAATAAATAAATGGGACTACATCAAAATAAAAAACTTATGCCCTAACCAGTTTGGCTCAGTGGATAGAGCATCGGCCTGGGGACTGAAGGGTCCCAGGTTCGATTCCGGTCAAGGGCATGTACCTTGGTTGCAGGCACATCCCTGTAGGAGGTGTGCAGGAGGCAGCTGATCGATGTTTCTCTCTCATCGATGTTTCTAACTCTCTATCCCTCTCCCTTCCTCTCTGTAAAAAAAATCAATAATATATATATAGCTTATGCACAGCAAAAGAAACCATCAACAAAACAACAAGAAAACCCACTGCATGGGAGAACATATTTGCCAATGTTATATCCAATAATGGTTTAATCTCCAAAATTTATAGGGAACTCTTACATCTTTTTTTTTTATTATTATTGCTTAAAGTATTACAAAGAGTATTACATAGGTCTCCTTTTTTTTTTCTCCCCTTGGCATTCCCCCAGGCTCCCCTACCCCCCAGTGTCTTATGTCCATTGTTATGCTTATATGGATGCATACAAGTCCTTCGGTTGATCTCTTACCCCCCTTTCTGCCCCCCAATCCTCCCCAGCCTTCCCACTGTAGTTTGACAGTCTGTTCGATGCTGCTCTGCCTCTGTATCTATTTTTGCTCATCAGTTTATAATGGTCTCTATTATCCATAAATGAGTGAGATCATGTGGTATTTTTCTTTCATTGACTGGCTTATTTCACTTAGCATAATGCTCTCCAGTTCCATCCATGCTGTTGCAAATGGTAAGAATTCCTTCTTTTTTACAGCAGCATAGTATTCCATCGTGTAGATGTACCATGGTTTTCTAATCCACTCATCTGCTGATGGGCACTTAGGCTGTTTCCAGATCTTAGCTATGGTGAATTGTGCTGCTATGAACATAGGGGTGCATATATCCTTTCTGATTGGTGTTTCTGTTTTCTTGGGATATATTCCTAGCAGTGGGATCACTGGGTCAAATGGGAGTTCCATTTTTAACTTTTTGAGGAAACTCCTATCTTCCATAGTGGCTGCACCAGTCTGCATTCCCACCAGCAGTGCATGAGTGTTCCTTTTTCTCCACATCCTCTCCAGCACTTGTCATTTGTTGATTTGTTGATGATAGCCATTCTGACAGGTGTGAGATGGTACCTTATTGTTGTTTTGATTTGCATTTCTCGGATGATTAGTGACTTTGAGCATGTTTTCATATGTCTCTTGGCTTTCTGAATGTCCTCTTTTGAAAAGTGTCTATTTAGGTTCTTTGCCCATTTTTTGATTGGATTGTTTATCTTCCTTTTGTTAAGCTGTATGAGTTCCCTATCAATGTTGGAGATTAAACCCTTATTGGTGATTACATTGGCAAATACGTTCTCCCATGCAGTGGGCTTTCTTGTTGTTTTGTTGATGGTTTCTTTTGCTGTGCAGCAGCTTTTTATTTTGATGTAGTCCCATTTGTTTATTTTCTCTTTAGTTTCCAATGCCCTAGGAGATGTATCGGTGAAGAAATTGCTTTGGCATGTGTCTGAGATTTTGTTGCCTTTGGATTCTTCTAGTATTTTTATGGTTTCCCGTCTTACGTTTAAGTCTTTTATCCACCATGAGAGCCTAGATGATCAGACATCCACTCAGTCTGTCCTTCAATTATTTATTCTCCATCCCCACAGCTAGCACACTGGTTTTCTTCCTGTTCCGTGAGCACCCCTGGTGTCTTCTCCATCAGATGGTCTTGTGCTTGCCAGGAGTCTCTCACTCTAGAGCGTCCCCTGTTGTCCGGGTCTCAGAGAGGACCCCCAGACCCAGAGGTGCACTATCACACTTGCCAGTCTGAATCCATGCTTCTATGTCTCTGGATCTATTTTGTTTATCAGCTTATCTTGTTCATTAGATTCCACATATGAGTGAGATCATGTGATGCTTGTCTTTCTCTGACTGGCTAATTTCCCTTAGCATAATACTCTCCAGGTCCCTCCCTGCTATCTCAAAGGGTAGGAGATCTTTCTTTTTTTTACTGCTGCATAGTATTTCATGATATAAATGAGCCACAGCTTTTTATCCACTCATCCACTGATGGGCATTTGTGCTCTTTCCAGATCTTAGCTATTGTAAATTGTGCTGCTATGAACCTAGGGGTGTATACATTCTTTCTGATTGGTGTTTTGGGTTTCTTAGGATATATACCTAGAAGTAGGATCACTGTGTCAAATGGCAGTTCCATATTTAATTTTTTTTAGGATATTCCATACTGTTTTCCATAATGGCTGTACCAGTCTGCATTCCCACCAGCAGTGTACTAGGGTTCCCTTTTCTCCACATCCTTGCTGGCACTTGTCATTTGTTGATGGTAGCCATTCTGACAGGTGTGAGGTGATACCTCATTGTCATTTTCATTTGCCTCTCTCTGATGATCAGTGACTTTGAGCATTTTTTCATATATCTTTTGGCTGTCTATAAGTCCACTTTTGATTAGTGTCTATTTAGGTCCTTTGCCCATCTTTTAATTGGATTGTTTGCCTTCCTTTTGTTAAGTTGTATGAGTTCCTTATATAGTTTGGGTATTAACCCTTTATCAGATGTATCATTGCCAAATATATTCTCTCATACAGTGGGCTCCCTTTTCATTTTTATTGATGGTTTCTTTTGCTGTGCAGAAGCTTTTTATTTTGATGTAGTCCCATTTGTTTCTCTCTATTTCTTCTTGTTACAGCAGTCCCTTTAGCATTACTTGCATTACTTTAGCCTTTTTTTTTTTTTTTTTTTTTTTTTTTTTTTTTTTTTTTTGCCTGAGAAGCTCTTTATTTCACCATCTATTTTGAATGATAGCCTTTCTGGATATAGTAATCTTTGTTTCAGATCCTTGCTTTTCATTACCTTGAATACTGCATGCCATTTCCTTCTGGCCTATAGAGTTTCTGATGAAAAATCAGCCGAAAGCCTTATGGGAACTCCTTTATAGGTAACAAATTTCTTTTCTCTTGCTGCCTTTAAGATTCTTTCTTTGTCATTAATTTTTTTTTTTTTTTTTTTTTTTAAGAGACGGGGTCTCGCTATGTTGCCCAGGCTGGAGTGCAGTGGCTATTCACAGGCACGATCCCACTAATGATCAGCACGGGAGCTTTGACCTGCTCTGTCTCCGACCTGGGCCGGTTCATCCCTCCTTAGGCAACCTGGTGGCCCCCCGCTCCCGGGAGGTCACCATATTGATGCCGAACTTAGTGCGGACACCCGATCGGCATAGCCCACTACAGCCCAGAACTCCTGGGCTCAAGCGATCCTCCAGCCTCAGCCTCCCGAGTAGCTGGGACTACAGGCGCGCACCACCGTTCCCGGCGTCATTAATTTTTGACATTTGAATTATGATGTGTCGGGGTGTGGGCCTGTTTGGGTTCTTCTTGCTTGGGACTCTCTATGCCTCCCGAACTTGTGTGACTTTTTCCTGCATCAGTTTAGGGAAGTTTTCTGCCATTATTTCTTCAAACGCAGTCTTTATCCCTTGCTCCCTTTCTTCCCCTTCTGGCCTTCCTATTATGTGACTATTGTTATGCTTTATGTTGTCCCACAGCTCCCATAAGCTGTCCTCCTATTTTTTTTAAATTGTTTTTTGTTTCTCTGATTGAGTGATTTTTTTTTTTCTAACCAGACTTCTAATTCACTGATCTGATCCTCAGCTTTCCCTAATCTGTTGTGTATTCCTTCCACTGTGTTCTCTATTAGTGCTATGTCATTCTTCATAGTTACTATATTTTTTTCTCAAGCTATTGCGCATCTTTGCCATCATTATTTTGAACTCCATGCCTGATAAATTTCTTATCTCCATTTTATTTAGCTCTTCTTCTGGAGAATTCTCTTGCTCTTTCATGTAGGGCTTGTTTTTTGTCTCCCCATTTTGACTGCCTGTTTGGGTTTATGTCTGTGTATTAGGTAGACCTGCTATGAATTCCAAACTCTAGTGCAAGAACATATCAGACACTGTTTATGACGGGCTCGGAGTACCCTGGTTGGCGCTATCAGCAATTCACAGCTTGGTTCCTTCTGCTGGGGCAGGGTGCCTTGGGGAAGGACCATGATTGCACCAATGTCAGCTTTTCCTAATTCCAGACTCTGGATTAGATTAGACAAAGACTTAGAGTCTCCAGAGATCTGCCTCTGCTTACGGTCCTATTGACACTCAGTTTTGATTAGCCTCAGGAAATCGACCACAGGGTGGGGTGGGAGGTCTTACAACAGCATGGGGCAACTGCCTTTCTCTAGGCAAAAACTGCCTGTATAGCAAAGGTTCATTGGAGAAAGATGTCCTGTGCAGTGTGAGGGAATGTCTCAGCACAGGAAACCAGGGTGGCTACACTCCAAGCTCCAACCCCAGAGACCCCAAACCTGGCATCTGCTCACACAACTCCAATCCACTCCGCCCTCCCTCTGTTGGAGCCCAAGGTGAGTGGCTGCACACCAAATTTTATGCATTAGCCCTTTAAGAGGGTGCCTGCATTTCCAACCATCTCTCTCTGGCAGATAGCAACCCTGCTGCTTTTTGCAGCCAGATGTTCTGTGGGCACCTTTCTCAGTTCAGATGCTGTGGGCGGGGGAGAACTCTGAGTGGGAACACTCACAGCTGAGATATCTCTCCGGAACTCCAGCTGCTGTCTGTGGCAGCCCGGCCAGCCCTTTCACACCTCCGCACTTTCTTTCAGTTTCTATGCTGTCTCCACTTTCCGTCCTTGGTTATCAGGGCTCTCTCCAGCTAGTCAAGGGTGATTTTTCAGGGTGATTTTTCTGCATTTTAATTTTATTTTCAGTTTGGTCTTGGGAGAGTGTCAGTGTAGCTTCCACTTACTCCACCACCATTTTTGTTCTGTATATCTAATCTTAAGAGATAGACTGTTATTGTTCAAATCTTAGCTCAACCACTTACTAGCTGTGTGAGTTTTCTGTGCCTCTGTTTCCCATAACAATGGTGCCTGCTTTCTTAGGGTCATTGGGAGTATTAATTATTTTCTGTAAAATCGTTATTTTGAGTTATTAAATAATGTTATCAGCCGTCTCTTCTGATAGCAGGGAAGCTCCTTGAGAGCCCCTTGCTTGTCTCTTCACTGTGGGGAAAGCCCCGAACAGTGTGACACTTGAGAGGCCCTCAATCACTCCAGGGACTTGACTGTTGCAGAGCGCGGTGCCCAGTGCCTCCTCCTGCCCCTGTTTCAGAGCAGCCTGAGGACTGCTGTCCGCGCCCCAGACTGGGAACAGGGGTGGAACCTGCACATCAGTCCTTGTGGGAGCACTGGGTCAGTTGACCTGAAAGTCCCCTCCAACTCTCCATGGTATGACAGCCCTGCGTAAGTTTTTATTTTAAATTTAACATTACATGTTCCTTACATGTTCATGGTTAAAATTTTGCAAAGGCTAAGAAATAAAATGTGCTTCCCACCTTGAACCTCAGTCCTTCCTGCCAGGTCATGCCTGTTTTAAGTGGCTAGTGTGTGCTCCCAGGAACCCCCAGACCTATCCAGGCATGCACATGGGTGTCCCTTCTCGTAGCAAACGAGGAGAGAGGGTATGCACTTGCTTTCTTTGTTTACCAGTCTGCCCATTTATGCCACGTCTGTCCCTACAGTGGCTTTGTTCCATTTTTGGCTGCACCATAGTGGACACATGGATTTCTTCCAGGACTTTGCTGTTACACACAAGAATGCTATGAATGTCCTGTGTGTGGTCATTGATTACGAGTGTGCCTCTGTCCATTGGGACAAATTCCTAGGACTAGAATTACTGGGCTGAAGTGTAACCGCATTTTTATGACCAGAAAGGCTTGTGAGTAAAGTGCTAAGAACAGTGGCCACAGTTGGTTCTCTCCCTTCCGGCAGTGTGGTTCCAACATTCTAATCTCCCCGCTGTAAACAGACACCTCTTTGTTGTTTACATGCACACTTATTAGACTGTGAAGTTCAGCATCTTCCCATGGTATTGGGAAGATGTTCCCAATATGTATTTCTTTTCTGTGAGCGTTCCATATCTTTGCCCATTTTTATGCACTCGCTTTACTACAAAGCTTCTCAACAATTATCCATCCATACTCAGTGTTTTCATTTCTTCTGTCTCATTCTCTCTTGATGCCCTCTCCCCCATTTACCCCCCGGCTCCTTGCAGGTCACCGGTAACTTTGTTGCTGCATCCAGAGGTAAGTCCTTAGTCTTCATGCTTCCTGGCCGGGAAGTATCAGACCCTGCTCATCGCTGATAGCTCCCTCCTCTCTGACATCTCCCACTGGTCTCTAGAGCACCCCTAGTTTTCCTCTTACCTTGCAGCTCCTCCCCATTTCCCTGACTTCTCCTTGACTTGCCCTAGACATCAGTCCTTGGACCACTTCCAAGCCTTGGAATGGGGTCAGGTCTCCTGATTTTTGGTATCACCCACAGGCTGCTAACTTGCCAAGTCTCCAGCTCCCACCAGCCAACCTCTCCAGACCTTTCCCCTGTCCGCCCCCCAGAGACTGACTGGCACCTGCTCAGGATTTCCAGGAACACCAGATCCTCTTCTGTTGCTTCTCAAAGTGTGATCCGGAGTGCCAACCTCCAGGTGAACTGGTAGGTGCAGATCCTCAGATTGGCTTGGACTCGTCACCCTCCATCAGACCTGAGGAACTGGGGCATCAGCCTTTCCAGCAGGGGGTGCGTGCGCATCTGAGTGTGGGGGAAGTAGCTGACACACCCTACAGATCCTCCAGCTGAGAGATGGGCCTCTGGTTCTTCATCTAAGCCTTTCGTGTGTACTTCCAGCCCCCAACCTTGTCTTCCTTCTCCTTCCCGCCTGTGACCCTCCTTCGCCTATGTCTGTGCTGGCCCCCAGGTCCCTGCTGACCTCTATGGCTGCTCGTGCAGCCTGTGTGTCTGTGGCTAGAATGGGGAAAGGAGCTTAAAGGGCCCCGATGGGCTGTTTGCGAGATGTGTAGTCTCCTCCCTTCCTAACTGGGCCCAGGGTGGCTGCAGGTGCCTTCCTCTTGCCTCAGTGCTGGCCCAGAGAGGGGTAGGCCAGGGAGGGGTCGGAAGTGGCATTTTCCAGCCAGGTCTGCAGACTCCCTGCCCTGAATGGCACAGGGGTATGAAAATGCAGCTCCTGGGCCCACCTTGGACCACATCTCAGGGGCTGTGCATGGGAAGGGGATGGAGGCTGGCACAGGGGCGTGCAGGGTTGGTTGTGCAGGATGGAGGGGCGAGGCAGGAGAGGGCCCTGCTCTGCTGCCCAAGTGCAATGCCTAGCACTCCAGGGTGGACATGCACGTGCTCTCTCCCTGCCACACGGGCTCCTCCCGCGGGAGTGTGGGAAGAGGAACATTGCCGGCTGCCTGATGCGCACCAGTATGGGCACAGCAGTTGCCCCTGGGCTGGTCTTTTAGGCCTCACCACAGAGTTGGAGAAACCAGGAGGCGGAGGGTGAAACGGCCTGCCCGCAGGGGACATAGACACTCCTCTGTTTGGTGAATTGATGGGTGGACAGTTTGGAGCCCTGGGGTGTCATGTCAGCCTTTGAAAGGCACTGGAGAGACTAGTTCTGATCCAGCCCCTTTATTTTGTGGTTAAAGAGCTCAGACACAAAGCAGTGAGGTCAGTTAGAGGCTGGGGGACCAGATGGTAAGCACTGGGTGGTCCAGGGGTTGATGCTCTCATGTCACCCCCTGCTGGACACACTTTGCAAGTTAGGGGTCCACAGTGGGAGGCAGCTTGACCAGAAGTACAAGCCTGGGGTCTGCATCCCTACTCAGCCTTGGTTATTTACCCCTCTGTGAAATGGGGTAAGAATTTCGGTGTCACAGAGACGAAACAAGAATTAGGGAGATACCCCATGGCTTTGTTTTGTAAACTCTGAGAATATGTAAGGGCTGTCAGCCTTATCTTAGAGCTTCCTAGTCCTGTATCTGCAGCCTGGTCAGCAGCTTCTTCCCCCCCCCCCCCCCCCAGCCCTGGCCAAGGACTGACAAAGCACCTTCAAGGGGAGCACAGCGCTGGCAAATGGACAAGCAGGTGCAGGCGCAGGCGTCAGCTCTCCCTGCTTTACTTGAATCAGCGAAAGGAACACTTCATTAACCTCAACAAAAGTTTTAGTGCATTTACATACATTCTTTTGTGTGCCCTATGAGATGGACATGCCCCGGGATTGGACAGAGCAAGAAGGCTGACTGTAACCTGGGTCCCTTGGAGTAGGAGAGGACGGTGTCAGGGGAGCCCAGAAAGAAATCCACTCAAGA